GGCAGAGCTAACCAGGAATAGTTCTCATTGGCTGCCGTGCCACCTTACTAAGGCGGCGTTTGCTGAATAGCACCAGTGCTATTGCTCCGCTGCACACACCCGCAATGGTGGGTGCGCTTCCTATGCTGAATAGCATCATGGCAGCACTACAATGTTCTACATGAATACCACCGGGTGCTACTTTGGGGCGCTATTTGGCCTCGAGCGGTGCTATTCGGGCCAAGAATAGCACCGCTTGGCGCCGAATAGCATCGGCGGTGCTATTGGGGCACTATTGCTCCTCAACCATTGATGATGTTTTTTTGACATGCGGTGCTCTTTGCTTAGCCGAATAGCACCGCAGGGACAATAGCACCCACCGATAAAGATGCTCTCACAATGCACTAAGTCCAGAAATTTGGAAACGTGGGACCAATGCCTCTGCCCCGATTCACAGGGCAGCAGCTCCCACTGCCAATTTTGTTGTACTTGGTGTTTCAGTTAATGAACACAGTTCAGTACTGCAACTCACCCGACCCTTCTTCAAACTGGCCAGCTCTGCCAGACCTGTCTCCAACACTTGATTCTGCAAGACAAACTTACGCATGAACATGAGCTTGCTTTCAGATTGTTGAGTAAAAACACAATGGTGGAGAAAAATGCTCTGACAAAAGTCAACAAGCCTCCTCATGGGTGTTGCAACACATTTCGCTCAACCACCCTTTGGCATTGGTGGAGGAAGAAGCAACATCAGCAGTGACTTCTGCATTGGCTTATCAGTTTGCAGGATTTGTAGAGACAACTCTCTTGGTGTGCATTACACATGAATGGAACCACTTGTCTATGCAGTCTCCACTCTCTTCTATTTCAGTAGACTGGGAGTAGCATTATGTGAGACAATCCAAACACACCGTGCAGGTCAACAGGTGCCCATTATTGAAATTTATACGCGAATTTAACAATAGCCACCGTTGTCTTGCGGGGTAGCAGCAATGTTGTGTCCATGAGGCAGATGCATGAGAATCTAGAAAGTCAACCAATGCTATCTGAGCCATATAGGCTTCCCAGCTGGGGCTTGGGATTGATTTCCAGGGAATATGTGTGCCTGGCACTTCCTGAAGGGCAGAAAACTGTCCAACAGGCTTGTCGCACTGATGTATGACAACATGAACCCCACAGTTCCATAGTCCGTCGCATTTGAATGCCTAGAAGCCAAAAAATTGGTTCGTAACCGGGAATCTGTTCTGTATTTGGGTCTCCAGCTGGAAGTTATACAGATTACATGCACGGCATTACTTGTGCAGGCTTATGCTCATCATTGCTTGAAGGTGCAAGGGCAGCTGTTTGTAATATTCTGCAATTGGAATCAAAGTCTTCACAGACTGATGCACTTACACAGAGACAACAATTTACTGCCAATTCCAGGAAATCCGGCCGCCAAACAGGCACTAGAAAGCAGCAATACACAGACACCTGCCTGTGACATCACTGCGGCCACACCAGCGGCGTGGGCTGGTCGCCCTTCACAAAAAGCTGCAATTTAGGACGCATGACAACAGTCCGTCAGCAACAGGGAACAGCTAAGCTATATGTGCAACTCAAAACGCGAAAGGATACAGCTCACCTCACCACACACGCGCTTATCCCAAGCCGAGCCCCCAAGCCGCCACGCGGATCCAACTGCCGCGCCCCAGCCCTTTGTCCAGGTTTATCCCTGCCAGCGGAACCGGCGAAACGATGTCCGTGGAGTGCGGAGCGTCAGAATGGATCAGTGCCTACTTTGATGAGAGTGCTGACTCAGCGCTTGGCATTCGGTACTCATCGCCTGCACAGCCGGTTCTGAATGGGCTGACCCCGACGGCTATGCACCGCTTGGGTCCGGTGCGCCTTTCCCGCGCCTTGGCGAGGGCGGCGTCCGGCCACCTCAGCGCCGCTTCGGACATTCTGCACAGCATTGCAGCTGCTCCGGCGATCGGGCGGTGGTTTTCAGGAGAATCTGGCAGCCAATGGGATGCGGCCGTGCGAGACATCCGCAGCTGGCTGCCCCGCAGGGGCAGCGCTCGGGTGGGGCCCAGGCCCCCGGCGCCGAAACGTCTGCCGGTAGCTAGGACGGCCTACGGAGTGAGATGGGTTGATGAATACAGGTGTGTGTGCAGCCCATCTGGCGTTGATGCGGCCTGACTGCGCAATCCATTTCAGAACATTTTCCCAAAGTATGACAAACATTGCCATTTCGCCAGCCAGCCGGCAACGGCCATGATTCCATCTGCATAGTTTTTTTGATATATTCGACGCTTTCCCCACAATTTGTGTCCATGATATGGTGGTGGATTATGGCACAACCGAGTTTGGCAACTCAGCCAGGGGCGAATGATTAGATGCTGCCACAGGATCTGGCAGCAAAGAATTGTGAAACGAAAATAAAAACGATCACTGGGTGTCTCATAAAGAGTCCTGCTGAGAATAATGGCCCCAACGTGTTGATTTCTTTGTGTTAAAATGAATGACTCATGGGGTTGGCGAGGATTTGGTTGTTGCACCCATGGTATATCCATGAGTTTTCAATGATTCAGTGAATGTCACATAGGCATTGCGGACACAAATAAGACGTGTATCAACAGCCTACCTCCTAATTCACGTTCCACTGGTTTCAGCAGAGCGTGATGCTCCACAAGTTTTCCTTTGCAATGGCAGTGCATCTGATGATCGTGAAGGGGAGATGTAGTAAATTGAAATCTTGCACAATCCTGTTGTTTCAAAACAGAAGCGTTCAGTGTTGCTTCAATGCTGTTGCCATCATGACCATCCTCCTGACAGTGTTGCATTTGCAGGAGGCCCCATTCAGTTTCAGCGTGTAGTTGTCCAAAGTCCTCAGGACAGGGCCTGTTGCTCGGCAGTCACGGTGCATGTCAATACTTGATATGACCCCTGATGTTGTCTTCAGTATAGTGGTAGAAAGGCAGCCCAGCCACCCCATTTGCCTGGGATTGCAGTAGTCACACAAACTGCATACATTCTCTGCAACACACTGCCTGATGTTGTGCAGGCTGGGTATGTGGAGTAGCGCTGCCTATGCACAAACAGCCTTGTCAAATAAGGCAGCTTCACTCATGTGCATTCAAGAATATGCCTTCTAAAACTGGGCAACCCAACAGCCATGAATGATCCAGTGTCTGCAATCCCATATAATAATAAACAATATATACCCATAAATAATAATGTTACAACGATTTTTTGCCCTGCTTGTGTGCCAGTTGGATGGAGGATGTGCAAAGCAGCGAGGTGGTGGCACATTTAAAAGCAGAAACTGAGTATGCTGAGCAGACACTGGATAAGGCTTATGCACTTTGGAGGGAGCTGAAACAGGAGTTGGAAGAAATGCACAATGCCAATGAGGTGACTGCCCCCTGCTGAGAACTTTTGTGGAGGTGGTTGCTTCAAGTATTTGGGTGCATTTGTCAGAGAATCACAAAGCCCTTGCATCTTAATGGTAAATTCGAGCTTGTGAAAATAAAATTAATGCTCGCATCTTTGGATGGAGCAAACTCTCAAATGTTTGTTCTCTTGGCATGGCAAGGCCAGGTACTCTGTCAAAGCTGACAGATTCATGGAATGATTGAATGCCTGTGGAGGATATTTTTCTTGTTGGCAATTGCCACAACAAGGCCAAACACTTCCATAGCACCTTTGGTGGGAAGCAGAGTTCATTCTCTTCTATTCATATTTGTTATTGCTGCTGTTATCCTAATTCATCAATCAATATGTTCAATAAATTCGTGATGCTGCACAGTTAGTCTTTTGGCAGAATTTCTGGCAGTGAATTCCTCGATTGCATTTGCCTATACAGAATGGAACAGCCCCTTGCCCCTTGGAAGATGATGGTAGTCTTGTACACATACCTATCATCTGTCTTCCAGCTGTTTGTGTCTTCATACGCAATCCAGAAGATTTGTCACCAAGGGCGTTTTCTTGTAGTGATATGTTGTGCGATGGCTGGTTGGCAATGCAGATTGAAGTCCCCGAGCATTGGGGACCATACGAATATTGGGTAAGGCAACGGCCTGGAACAGTAGGACAGCAGTTTGTGCGGTGCCATGTGAGCAAAGGGATGGAGATAGAGATTCTTCTGGATACAATTGAGCTGGAACAACAAGGGATTGCCTGTGGTATGTGGTGGAAGTTATTTGATTGTGTTACCATGTATGTCAGTGTCCTTGTGCCTCGCAGGTGATGCCAAGCAATTGTGCATCCGATGTGTCTTTTGCTTCCATTTGGGACCTGTACAGTGGCATTGCGGTATGTATGTTTGTGTGGATAGTTGTGTCTCTTATGCCTTGACGTCTAGTTCAAGCACCTAGTGAGATCCATGTGGGGACCCTTTGCAGGTTTGAGAATTGAAACAATGTGACGTTCAGATAAGTATTGTGCAGAATTCTATGAGACGAAGTGTTTCTCGTTGGCACTGATGTATCTTTGTTGCAAAGGCACGACAATGGCCAGGTTTTAGGCCTTGTGAGCAGTGGTAATCATTGACCAACAAAGGCATTATTCTGAACAAGAGCATGAATACGGGGTGCAACTGGACCAACTTCCTGCTGAACTGGAACAAGAACTTGAAATTGCAATTCAGAGTGGATTTGCTTGTGATCCTGCGAACATCTTTAAGTGAATAGGTTCCCGCAGTTTGTTTTTGGGGCACACTGATGCCTGGACAAGGAACGAAACTTCACAGCACGTGCATGTCCATGGCTAATACATTAACAGAGTACATATGCTCACGGGCACTGCATGACACACACGCCATGGTGGTGCACAGTTTCACAGAATGGCACTTCCGGTTCTATGGGAATTGGTTTGTGCTGGTTGTAGTGGAATTGTGGTGTGCCCACTTGATTGAGCTGCACACTGATTGATTAGATGTTCTGTGGATGCAAACTTATTTGCGGTTCAAAGGTGGGCCACTGCTGAGCTGAGGATTAGTCAACAAGATGGATTGCTGTGTTTGTGCAGCGGCGCCAGCAATGAAGCTTTCTGGCAACCACCGCCTGGTTGCATGGACTGCAGAGAAGGAGCGGGGCTCTGAGAACTATTGGGTGTACATTAAGGAGGCGGCCACAGGTCTGTGGTCACATAGGCAACCATCAATTAGATGTGGGCATATTGAATAGCAATATCTAGTTGTGTTCCATCGATAGCCGTACAGCGCAATTTTACTTTCCATATCAGCATTGCCAGTGTACCATTAGCAACAATCCAGTCGAGTGTGATCTGCATTTTGAAGTTCAGTTCCCAAGGTCAAACCATGCCTGAACATTTGAAGACAGCTTGAAAATGTGGGGATACAGAAAAGTTGTTCAACAGCCACCAGTAGTGGCGCCTACACATTTTGTGGGCCCTTGGATAATGTTCTGACCTTTGAGTTGTCATCATTGCTGAATTAGTATAATGTGCTTCTGTCCTGGGCTCGTTTTCAGCACTCCAACTTGTAGTCCACCGTGTCCCATCAATTCAGATGACTTCCGATTGTGGAAGGGAACCAAGAGAACTGAGAGCAGGTGCATGCCAGCGGCCGCAGTGTCAGTTCTTTGAACAAATCCTCCTGGGGGTAAATGTGCCTCTGTTGGAGCAGTGTGACACTTCCACAAGCTGTAATCTGCCACCATCGACTTAAACATGCAAGGGGAGTGCTTTGCCTTCAAGATAAATGTACACAAATGATCACTGCAATTTTGTTGATTTTGCAGATCGGATCTTTCTTGACGAGGTCATCGGGGGCAGCGTTGCAGGAATGGAATTCTCTTCTGATGGCCAATACCTGCTATATTGCCTGCGTGATGATACCATTCGACCATTCAAGGCAGGTAGCTTAATCCTCTGTGGTGTGCCTAACATGTATTCAATAAAATGCTTGCCCATGTTCCTTGGACTCTTTGGCAGCTCATGCGGTATTGGGCCTGGCGAATTTTAATGTTCTGCATGTGCACAATGCTGCGCAGCTCGATGCACTAGCAATTCAAGGTTTTGATGCGTGACCTTACTGGCATGTTGCTAAATGTCGAATGCGTCATAGACCGGCTTAGCTCAGTCAGCGACATTCAACAGGGAACTGGATGTTCGAGGTGGTACAGCATGTTATAGCAGTGCATTGCTTTTGTAGCACTTACCAGAAGTACTCTCCGTTGCATCACAGTTGGAGTATCTCCTTTTGCAGCTGCTCTTTTGGTTCCAAACGCACTATATTTGCCTTTGAGGGTCTCGGCTTTTGGCTGAACAGAATGATTCCAGTTCCAGCTCAAATCCAGTGCATGATCAATTAGATTTTGTGAATGAGTACAGGCAATGTGGTGCCATGCTTGTACTGCAGCAGCATAACCTGATGCATGCTGAGCAGCTCAATTTGCGTTAGAAGTATTTAGCTGCTCGCAGCAGTGAGAACATTGCTGGAGGATTGGCACCAGTCTGAGGGAATTTGGTACCGCCATCCCAGGTGATGCTGCACCGAATGGGCACTCCTGTTGCCGAGGACAAATGCATTTATGTGGAGCACGATCCGCAGTTTTTCGTTCATGTGTCTCGCACCAAAGACTGGAGCCATTTTACTGTGACGGCGACCTCCAAAATGTCCTCAGAGGTGCGTTTGCCCACCATGATTTTCGTGCAGCACTTGCAACGACGTTTGTGAAAATCATCAATTCCTGAAGCATCGGTTTTCCCAGGATTTCAGTCGAGTTATGTGCATAATTCAAGATGGGAATTGTGTGATTCATTAGTGCATTCGTGGGGCACTTAAGTGCCTAAGCTTAGGGCATTCAGGCATATGCCATGATAGCACTTTGAAATCCTCAAAGCAGTGCATAGATTTTTGCTGAATGCGGGTCCCTGCTTGCCATGTCATTGACAAGCTGACCAGTTGAATGGCAGTGTGTGGGGAAGCCAAGGCCTGGCGTTTGCCATGTTTACACTCAGGTGCATCTGCTCAAGTGTGCCAGTCTGCCTGATGCATGCCTCAAATGCGTGCAACCTCGTGCGCACGGTGTTCAATACTATGCTGAACACTTTGATGGTCGCCTGTACATGCTGACGAAAACGCCATCATCGACCAACTTTGTGATTGTCACTGCACCTGCTGACAGTCCTGGTCGGCACAACTGGAGGCAGCATGCTGCAGGGCGGCCAGGGGTCCAGATTGCAGATATGGAGATGTTCAATGGCAGGTAGACACATTCCTATAACATGTAAACGATGCCTTAGAACTGTCATTCTTGAGAACTGATTTACTTGAATATTGCATATTGATGCTTTGTAGTAGTGCTTGCACATTGCTTGTGCAATTTGTTGAGTGGAAACATTCTTACACTCACACGACT